AGGAAGAGGTGTATTCCAATTTAATTTTTGAAGCCAAAGTTTTTGTAGAAATATTTTAGCTTTTATCGTAACAGGTCCAATTAAACCTAACGGATCAAAGAGGCGACCTATCGTTGATAAGACATCTCTTTTCGTGCCTGTTTCTTCAAAGTCAGGTATCTTTAAATCGTAAGAAAAACAGTCTGTAGATGTATTCCATGACATTCCTAAGGCCTTTGTAATCTGAGGCTTATCCGTAACTTGAAAGGAGTAATCCTGAGTTAGCACTTTCTTTATTCTTCAATAATTTCTGGATTATTTGAACACCAGTTGTGTAACTGCATTCCACCATGTTCTAGAAGACAGGTTACTGTGTCTACAACTCCCTGGCTTCTTGCAGCATATTAGCGCCAGTGATAATGTCATCCACGTAACAGTACTTCATGATGGCTCTTGAGGCATGAGGAAAGTCAGTCGCTTCATCCATTGCTAACTGCTTCAACACCCTAGTTGCAAGGAATGGTGCACTTGCTGTTGCGTATGTTACAGTCCTTAGATGATAAGTTTGCACAGGACTACCAACTGATTATTTTTACAAGATCAACTGCAGGTTTCGTTGAGATGGTTCAATAAGTATTTGTCTGTACATCTTCTGAACATCAGCTCCTAATGCATAGTTGTATTTTCGAAATCTAATAATAATAGAAAATAAATCTTCTTGAGGTATTCGCCCTTTCATTTAATATTGAGTTCAGTGACTTTCCATTGCTAGTAACCGCGGATGCATTAAACACAACGCGAAGCTTGGTAGAGGCTTTCTCTGGCAGATAAACTCCATGATGACTAAGATAATTGCAAGTGGATGTTTCAATTTCTTGAACTTCTTCCATGTGATTTAGATCCTTATATTCTTTAATAAAACTCTTATATAATGTTTTCATCTTCGAATCGCTTTCTAGTCGATTCCACACTTGATGCAATCTTTTCTCAGCCAGCGTTTTCGATTCTCCTAATTCTACACCTTCCCTTATGGGTAACTGAACTACGTATCTTCCATCATTTTGTCTATAGTGAGTACGCTTGAAATCTTCTTCACAGTATTTTTCTTCTTCACTCAAAGCATCCTCGATATTTTCAATGGATTCAACTTCCCAAAATCTTTGCAAAATTTCTTCAACTCTTTCTTCACTATTTAGAACTAAACCACAATAATTTACTTACTTTCGAGTCACTCTTGCATGCACCAGACGCGATATATCCAAAAACTGTTTTCTTGAAATATCAGCGGTTGATTTTCTAATTGAAATTTTCTTCTTTTCCTTCTTTTAAAATCTCAAAGAACAATTCGGCCCCTAGTAACATATCTATTTTATTAGGTGTTCCAAATTGCGGATTCCGCTAATTCAATATCAATGGGAATATTTAATGACTTCACATCTAAACAACCTTGATGGAGTTACATTGGTTATTTTTTAGAAATAACTAAGCAATTAACTGATCTTACATATGTTAAATCCTTATTCGAAAATCTGTACATCTAGTTGATAATTAATATTTATAACGTTCTCATTAATTCCGGATACAGATGCATAAATTCTTTCTTTCTTTAAATTTAACAAATTAGCAACTCCTTCACACAAGAAACAACTCATGCTGCCGTTATCAAGTATTTGCGCGAACTGGGATTCTTTTCCTTCGGAATTGCAAATATATATTATTGCAGTCGCCAATAAGACGTTTTTTCTGCGTGTCAAAAGACAACTTGATTGATTTTTATTAGAGACATCTGCGTTCTTGTTTATAATTTCGTCACTCGTTGCTTCGTTTTTGTTTTGTTTAACTTATGTTGAATGGCGCCATTTCTGAGCAGGCGATGTATTAATGAATGGTGTTTTTTTTATGGCATTCCGAACATCTGAACTTAGAAATGCATTTTGCGATTAATGCTCGTTACTGAGACAGTTTAGACACAATTTATGGGTTTTAACTATTTCATATCTTTGATTTGGATTTAATTTCAAAAATGAATCACATTTATGCAGTGGATGAATTATTATTTTTGCATATAACACAAATCGAAACACTATCGGTTTTAACCATCAGAGCCTTTGATTTCGAACTTTTTTCTAAGGGATATTTCATTTTATTAATAATACGGTTAATGTTATCCAATAACTGACATCTTTTCTCTAAAAACGAAATTAATTCATCAAAAGTAGGAACTTCCGTAGCATTAATGCTTAGTTCAAACTGTTTGCGCGTTCCAAAATCTAGTTTCTGAAGTACGATATTTAATAACAGAATATCCGATAAATTATTTTCTCATATTTTTAAAAACATTCAAAGCCCTAACGTTTTTAGTAACATTATCTATTACATATCTTATTCCTTTAGACGATTCGAATGTTAAAGTACGTAAATCCATTATTGAATTTTATATGCGTCTCAATTAATATTCTTTTTATTTCATACCTATCTTGAAGAGCTTTAAATAGAGAACTAAAAGTATCATCAACAGTTTTCAAGATTTTTTGCTTCATCAGTTAATGCAGCCTTTAAATAGCAGAGTTTCTGAACTTCTGTTACTTGCGTGTTATTCGCTATGATGTTTTCGAATTGAAGCTTAAAATTATTCCATTCGGTATATTTACCAGAAAACTTAGGAATTGGTAATTCTGGCAAACGTATTTGTACTTTAGGATCAAATTTACTACAATCATTTTCATTTTCAGAATGTGCTATAGATGATAGAATTTCCATAATTCTTACCTCCAGAACTTCAGTTCTTTCTTCCATTTCGGCGATTTCTTCATCAATAGCTGTGACATCTTTTTCATCAACGCTTTCGAAATATCTATTCCTTAAGTTTTCTAAATATCCATTTGAATGCTTTGAAGGGATCTATACTTTATTTGAATTTCATTCTTATTCGAACTATCATCATATTCCTTCACTACATTTTCTAACCTAGTTAGTTTCGCTTTTAACGAAGTTTTTGTTTCTATCTAATGCCAGCATTTTGTTCACTTCTCCGGCTCTGCTGACCACGTACTATGATTCTAAACTAATAAGTGGACTGTATAGCAAAAGAACTAACTAATTTATTTACAGTAATTAACTATTCAGATCTAATACATGCTCTGGCATGTTGCTTAGCCGAATCCAGATGGCCAAGTGAGAGTTTCTCTCCCTATCCAATAGGTGGCGCTATATTCTAACTTAACAGTGTCCAAAAATCAAAGAAAAATAAACTGTACATTTTTAAAAATAAACTTTTTTAGAAAAAAATCCTGTTGGAAAGGTGTTAAGCTCACCTTGTTAAATAAATTCGTATTTAATCGATTTATTGAAACACGAAATTTATTTTAAGTTCGTAAAATGTGAAAGTGCCTACGTTTCATGACGATGTGAAAATGAAGTGTTTAGAGTAAAATCTTGCTTTCCTATAGCCCATTATGTCTCAAAATGACGCGATTTCGTCACAAAACATAAATAAAAAAATTCGAATTTCGAAAAAATCGCTTCGAGGTGCACTGGCTCTTGTCTAGATGCACCTATGTACCAAATTTCGTAGCCGTGGATCTATTAGCTTAAGTGCAGCGCAAACGAAAGACACACAGACAGACTCTTTCTTTTATTATCTGTAGAGATTACTTTGCAGCTTTAGCGCAAGTCATAGGCTCAAAAAGTGTGTGTCTCTCATCGAGAGTGTGTGTGCCTCGTCTAGCGAGCTGATAGTCATTGAGCGAGTGTCTCGAAGTCTAGTGCCGAGGTGGTCATCGAGTGCATCGAGAGAGTCTTTTAGTGCATCGCAAATTAGTGCATCGCAAATTAGTGCATCGTCGAATTTTGTCATAGACTGTGCTGAGTCGAGAGCTATACTCTTCTGTATCGTCGAGTGCACCGTGTGGAGAGTCTCGAGAGCACGTGAAGTTCCGAGAACAACCAACCAGAGTTGGAAGCTGTACTCGGGTGCTTTGCAGTGAAGCTGTCTCCACCGTTATTGCCTGACAGTGGGAAGGCTGTGTCACTGATTGTTGCAACGTGTTTATAGTAGATCCCCGACGACTGTAAAAAGTGTTTTTAGAGCTGTCCTGATTAACATTGGCTAAATAAAGCGTGTTTCGATACTACATCAAGTCATTATTATTCACTCCAAATCCACGAACCCCGTACGAAAGTGAAGGAAGAAAATAACGCAACAACTGATGTAAGAAAAGAAAAAAACGTAACAATAGATTGAAGATTATTATTTAAATAAAAGTTTAACATTTTTTAACAGATTTACGAGTTTTATTTAATTAATGAAAACGCGCAGTATATTTTGTTTTGTTTTCAGTGTTACAGTAGTAGAGTTTTAAATTCCAATAATAAAATTAGCGAGCATTAATAAATCAAAATTATTAAATTGTTAAATTTTATTGAAATGAAAAATTTTAATTAATAAAAAATTGATCTAAAATCACATTTAATTATGAGTAAATTAGGGTAGCATCCAAAAGCCAATGCATTTTGGAAGCACAAAATAGTTTTCCAGAAAATTAAGAGAAGATGTAAAAGAAGATTTTGTAAAGGAAATCGTTTTCCTTGCTGTTCTAAAAAACGAAATCCGTGAAAATTGGAAATAAACTCTTTGTTCTAAATTATTAAATCTAATCAACCCAGTGTTGAATAGTAGGAAACACTGGTAACTCTGTTACCAGAATGATGGATAGAATTACTAGTGTTCAGGGCATTAAAAGCTTGTAATTCTGTTTTAGGGGAGGGGAGGGGAAACTAATGCTGTAGCAATTTTATTCAACAGAATATTGGGTAAAACTGCCCAACACATGCTATGTTGTTAAGTTGTTCATTGCCCAAATTTATATGAAACGTATCTTTTTTTTTCCTTTAAATTGAATTAAATATCTGGTAGCCAACAAGTATTAAACTTCCTTAAAGACTATGCAATTTATTGCTTTATTTTTAAGGTCTATTTTTAAATATTCTAGTTTTTAATCCTTTCCACGTATCTGTTTTAGACCTCAAGTTGTGCTGTTACAAGCAAAGAATCACTGCCTGTTATCCTTTATGACGGAGAGCATCAAGTGTACGAAACAGTTTTGGAAGACCTTGTACCAACCAGTTGTGGCTGCAGTGACTCGTAGCATTGAACAAAGAAAGATGATCTAAGATTTAAAAAAACAATGCGAAGCTTGTGTCCGGAAGACAGAAGATTAACATACTTCGGTCGCTTCGCACGGGTATCTGTCGACATGCATCCAACATCTACCTCAAAACTTTATTCATCTATATCTGAACTGTAGCTCTGTGTCGTATCATAAAGTCTGAAAAATGTGTCCGTGAAGCATCCATGTGCGGCTAGCATACCTCAATATACTGCAAGTTAGGTTCCAATCCAGGACCATACGCAAAATATAGAAATAAAAAATTATTCATATGAGTTTTGCGGTTCGTCAACAATCTATTGAATATATATAGTATCTTGAATTTTCTAAGATTTTAAACTTTTTATTTAAAATGGAACTTACACGACCGTTCTTCTGTCTTGAATATTTAATGGTGATTAGAATGTATAATATTGTAATAATAATTACCAAAATGTTATCCACACACAGAAAAGGAGTAAATGTGCTTGGCAAAATAACTGATAAAATCCTGACAATATCCTGAATTCATACAGGAAACGTTCAGTTATAAGAAAAAAGATTTGTAACTGTAATAACGGGGTATGCCTGAACATGAATTTATGTATACTGAGAAATTCGAATGTACTAATTTAGAATAGCAAAATGTGCCTTCACAATATTGCATTTTATAATAATTTAAGCTATTATTTGAACAAAATAAGAAAGAAATCCAAGTTCACCAGTGAATGGGCCTGAAAATCTACACTTTTGTTTTATTTCGAATTCAATTATATATCTGACTAGGTGTACCCGCCCGGCGTTGCCCGTGCATTTAGAAAATGCAGATAAGTGAATAGCGCAGGAATAGTAGTGTAGGACATGTAGACTGTCTCTCTCTCTTCCCCCCCACCCACAAGCTACCAAAAAAAAAATGAATTGTAAATTAATCGATTTAATGTATCGTCAAAACAGCAAACTAACGCTAGAAAGAAATCAATTGTTACACTCGAACGTTATTTGAAAACAAATAATAATATCAGTGAGTAAAAAAAAACCGTGATTAAATTAATTATAAATAATTTTTTTTTAATTTTTTCTAATTCAAAAATCGAAAATCGGGCTTCGAGGTCTGGTGGCCAGCCCCTTTGTGCTTCCGTATAAAAATTCCAGGTCCCTGCGTGCGATAGATTTGGCTGGAGAGCTCGGTCAGACAGACAGACAGACACATTACACTTGCTTTTATTATTATAGATAATTCTTTATATAGTATTAATAAATTATAAAAAAGCATATTTAATTTAAGGCTGAAATTGGGCAATTTTACGTCCTCACATATCCCTAATCATTTCGAAAAATTTGCAGACTTGATAATTGAAGTGATTGCAACAAAATATGAAGCACTACAATTGATCTTATTTTTTTTATATAGGAGGTAGTAAGGTAGAATTTGCACACCGGAAATATTATTGTCAAATATTCTTGTTCCTATTTTGCTAAAGAAATGTATATATTCTTGGTATAATATCATAAAACTTGATTTAAGATTTGAATATTTCTCTAATTCTCTTCTACAGAGAAATAATCAAATCTTAAATCAAGTTTTATAACATTATACCAAATATATATATAATTTTGCAGCATATTGCGCAAAAATTTTTTAGACCAAATAGGAATTTTTTATATAGTAATTACTACTAAGCTTTTAAATTATATATATATATATATATATAGAAAAACAAAACATAAGTTCTTGAAATGATATGAAAAGGAAAAAGAACATGAAAAGGAACAAGAACATAAGTACTACAAAATAGGAACAAGAACTTATGTTCTTGTTCCTATTTTGTAGTACCTTTTGTATTCATAGTAGATTGAAAATTCTGATAAAACGGTAGGTATATCACATTTTGAAAACTGCTGTGATTATTTAGCAAAATTAAAACTAAAATTAAAATTGAATTCAGAAGTCATATTTAAATATACTAAAATAAAACAAAAACTAAATTTGCTCAAAATAGTGCAAACAATCGTTGCATTTTGTCGTAAAATTAAAAATCAAAGTTATAATTAAGAGCAATTTCAAAAAACAGGTAACGCAAGGCAGAATTAAAGAAAACTTAGTCAAAATAGTGCAAACAACCACTTCATGAATTCGAGAAATGTGAAAAATATTTTTTAATTAAAAACTAAATGATTTTTCCCAGGACATTTTGAGGAATGATTTCGCGAGAAATTTAACAGCCATCGTTTTGAAGGGATTTCGTTTTTTCTTTGCTTTAATATATCTGAATGTTATTTTTGAATTTGTTTTGGATTTTAATTATATGGATATCATGTATGTATAATTTAATTGATAAAATCTTTAACATTTTTTAAATTCGGAAGTTTTACTCATTTTTTGTAAATATAGATTAAAGAAATGTATAACATATATTTTCATTATTATAGATTTACTAAATAAATACTCAATGCTCAAATTTTTAATTGTGTAAATAAATTATTAATTTTTAATTAAAAAATTATAAGTCCGTATCATAATTTCAGAATTAGAAATGCTCAAAAATTTATTTTTATATTATTATCTTACCGTTTAAAATATACTTATTGAACAAGACTTCATTTTCGTGCAGAAAATTTAGATAGTCGTTTGGTGTCCTTTTCCGTAATTATTTTTATGTCTCAAAGTAAAACATTTAAAATCGTTTGACCAAAAAATAAATCAGATCATAATTCATAACGTAGAGTTTAAAAATATTTATAAAAGTATAATCTAGGTTCTTTGTTTTCAATCTTGAGAGCACATTATTCATAATTATCAAATTTGTCCTATTGTGTTTCGCGACATTAAAATATTGTTACGGGTATGCTGATATAGACCAATTTAAAAAAATCTGTACCATTGATATTGGGACTGAGTGATTTTCAAGAGAGGTATCTTTTATGTAAGAAACTATGCGACTGCATTTTTCATTGTTATGTAATTTCATCATTGTATTCTGCATTTTTGCATTTATGCTGTATATTTAATTTTTATTCATGCTCACTGGTTTTAAATTGTATTAGAAATGAAGTTTTCAAACTGTAAGTAATTTTCGGAAATACTATGATGTTTGTCATATTTTCTGCAAGATACTAGAGTTTAACTTTATTTATATACAATGAATATGTACATTTTATGTATTAGTACGATAGATAATCCACACTTATTTCTTATTAATTTAATTCAGTATTTATGTAACATAACAGAGAAACATTGATGGTTAAATCACTGTATAGTATGGTTAAATCACTTTTCTTTCAAGAGAAAACTCTGTTTTTGTTTTACATACTGAAAAATATGCTGTAAAGACATCCAAGGATATAGATTAAATAGAAGAGTGTTAATTTGTTGGAGCTAACCAAATGCAAGAATTGTATTATTGGATTATTATTTGTATCGTTGTTATAAATAAAGGGCTCTATAATCTTGTATTTAATGAATATAGTTATTGAATTATTTAATAAATGTAATTTTTTCTGATAATACTGCCAATTATTTCTTAATTCTTTATTTATTCTTTTATTTCTCTTCTAGACTTCGTATTCAATTTTCAACACTACTTATGGCCATAAATTTGCTTTTTATAACTAATTAGAATTTAACAGTTTATTTTGTTAAATTGTATTTTATTGAAAGTCCAAGAGAGAGTATAAATTAAATGTCTCCAAGGTAGTGCGCAGTCTATCTGACTATGATAAAGCTCGCGAAATTTTTTCCAGAATTTCTGCAAGTTTTATACCCCCCCCCCCGAAAAAAAAAATTCTAATACTTAAAAATCATCCACGTGTAGAATGTTAGGCTCCATATTCCATCTGTATAGAAAAACATGTTTAACATGTTATTGGAGGTGTTAATAATCAGTGTAATATCCGTAAATTTGTAGGACTAGTTTCGATGATTTGAACATAAAACCTTTCTTCATCAGTAGAAGTGCAAATGATGAAAGAGAAGCCTGTGCTCAGGCAATAACAATGAGAGGAAGAAGTCAAGGTACTGGCGCCATATATTGATGAAAATTGAAAACAACTATGAAATAATTTCCTTCAAAGCTAAGGGTAAAGATGGATTGGAATTAGGTCGGTTAACTAGAACTGAAAGATTTTTATGAATTTTTATGAAACATCTATAGAAAATCTAATAGGTCAATGAAAAATATTTGAATAATTTTAGCTACTAAAAAATGGAAAACATAATTTTTTAACCAATAGTGCTGGGCAACAGGAGTTTACATGTTTCTTTTTTTCCTAACGTATGTCTCATGTTTCTCAGAGCCAAATTTTAAAGACCCGTTGGTTTTGAAAGGTATGAAGTTTCGTATTCTTTGGTAGCATCAAAAGTGACTTATCAAAGACTCTTGTAAAGTACTACAGAGACTGAGAAAGAGCTTAAAAGACCCTTTTATTTAACTCAAATAAAAGTTAACAGAAGGCACTAATCGTGCTTGCAGAACAGCCAGCATTTATGGCTTAAATCAAGAGTAACGTATTTAAATTTAGAATGAAGTTAGCCAAAAGGCTACACAGACAAAAAAAATGCGCAAGTTGACTATGATGTAGGTGTGGCAAGTCTAAAGGGGAGAGCAACGCAACGCCGCAAAATACTGCCCCCAAGAGAATTTATTAGAATGCGTTGCCTTCAGCAGGTGAAACGCTCTAATTCTACCCTTCTAAAACCTTCTTTTTAATATTGCTTCCTTTCTACCGTATTTAAATACACGCGAACTAGAAATTTACATTCTGGCAGGAAAATGAGAAGTGAGAAAGGCTGTAAAATAATTTATAGCACTCTCTGTGGTTATCTTTTTTAATTTATGCCACAGTCTTTGTACTTCAGTGTATATTTGTAGATTACATAAAATCCACTAGATTAGATCTTTAATTACCTAGATGCTAGTAGCCCTGCTGTCAGGTATTTAATAATAAAATTTAAAACAGCGTTTTATGATAATTTATAAATAATACAGCTCCTTGTTAGAACGAACGTTGCATGCACAGCCAAAGGGGCAATTTGCCCAGAAGGGCTATTAATTTCGTTTTAGCATTTTGCATTGATTCACAACAAATGGCGAATTAGTTTTTAAATTTTTGTCACCAAATATTAGAGCCCTGTGTTACATTTAAAGAAATTAAATAATGAAGAATCTGCAGAAATGCATGCATGTTTCTCACATTGTGATAAAACAATTGTGAATAATGCAAGTCTCCACCCGAATATGGGCATCTGGAAGCCCAAATTTGGAATTTGGAATTTGTTTTATTATCTATTTCATATTTTGTAAGGCATTTATGAGTTTTTGATTAAGAAACTCAACGATTTCAAAGCACGCAATGGCAACACTGTGCGGGAAAAAAAAATAGCGCGCGAGACTGTATATCGGAAATTCTAAAGATATGCTCTTTTAAATATTTTGTGATATTGCTGTTACATTTATTTTTATAGTTTAAGTGCGAAGAATATATTTAATAAATAAAGGTAACAAACAAAACTTTAAAATAAACGCCCCTTCGGGCGTAATATAAAATCTGAAAGCTTTCAGAAATTATTCGAACGTAGAAAGAAAACTG